CATACTACATATCTATATGTATATATATATATATATATATACACATGTATATTGCTAGATAGTTGTCTAGATATAAATGCATATGTGTTTAGATTTTTACCTATATATATACATAAAAAGAGAACGATAGCTATATTTGTATGCCGACACACACGTATACATGTATATTTATAAATAGATATATAGATGTGTGTGTATCGTTCGTTACGTGTGCCCATACGTGTATATGCATAAACATAGATGCATACATATTTAGGTTGGTGGATGTATGAGTGTATCGGTGTATTGTCGGATAGACACATTGTTATGTGTAAGGGTGCATGTGAGCACATGCGTATACATGTGTATAAATACGGATATAACGGGACATATATCTCTCTATATAAATATACACACGTATGTGCATATTCATAGGCATCAGCCCATACGTTTGTACACATACATATATGCATGTTTATAATCATGTATATATAGGGTTATGCATGTACAGGCATACAGCTACATAGTTTGACATTTACATATGTATATATACATATACGTGCGTGTGTCCACTAATCCCACATCGCCAGAGTAGTCACTCTGCCTAGCCGCCGACGCAACAATCGTGTGTATGTATACATACATATATATACACACATATACGCGCCCAGAAGGGGGCCAACACCGGTGCCACTGTGTGGCATCGGAGGCCAAAGGGCCTACATCCGCGTAAAGGGCACTCAGAGGGGCCCTGAGGCCACCAAAAGGAGCCCCCAATGTGGTCAGAAAACACCACGGCGCTCCCAGCACGCCGAGCATTGCTTCGAAACAGATCACGTGGCATCCACGACGCCCCAAGAAAGCTTCCAGCTCATCCCCGGGAGAGCCCCAGGGGCAACACTCATTGATTTCTCGTTGGTTTCTCAAGGAGTTTCGTGTGGTCGCTTGCTCCGCTGCCCGACGCACGGGGACGGCACAAGAGGCGCCCAGGAGGGCCGCAAGACACCCTAAGAGGGCGCCCAAGACGGCTCAAAACGGCGCCCCAAATTGCCCAGATGGCACCAGGCGGCTTCCCAAATGAGCTCGGACACGCCACAAGTGCCCAAAATGACGCCCGCAGGGCCCCAAAACGGCCCCCGCACGCCCATCATTATTCCGATGTGGGCTCGGGTAGTTTCCTGTGCGTACCAAAAGAGATTCGAGCTGATCTCCGAGAGAGACTCCAGGGGCGAAAATCATTGATTCCCCGTGGGTTTCTCACGGATTCTTGCGTGGTCGTTTGCTCCGCTGCTCGACGCACGAAAACGGCACAAGAGGCGCCCAACAGGGATCCAAGACACCTCAAGAGGGCGCCAAAACGGCCCACAAGGCGACCAGAATCGTCCAAGCGGGCTCCAGGTTCTCAAGGAGGCCCACAGGGCCCCCAAAAAGCTCCAGCACGCCCTCCATCGCTCCGATGCGGCCCACGAGGCATCCAAGAGACGGCGCAAGAGGGGTCTAAGACGGCACGCAGGCGTGCGCGAGGGTCGCAACGCGCCCCACGGCGGCGGCCAAGAGGCGCCCAAGATGGCCAAAGAGGGTCCAAGGCGGCTCTCCAAATGAGCCTGGACACGCCAAGAGGGCAGTAAAGAAGTCCCGTGGGGTTCCAAAACGGCCCCAGCACGCCCACCAGAGCTTCCATACTGCCCACGAGGCATTCAAGACGCCCCAAGGAGGCTCCAAGTCGCCTTCAGGAGACCCGCAACGAGGAGAAATCGATGCTCTTCGGCCGTTCTCAAGGTTCTGTAGTGGGTCGTCTGTTCCGCTTCCCGACGCGCGGGGACGGCCCAAGAGGCATCCACGAGAGAGCCCCCGCACACCGCGAGCAGATTTTCTACGAGCCTCGACGCTCCAAAGGGGGTTCCACACGCGGCCGAGGAGCCCCCAAAGGCACCCCGAGTGAGCCTCGACGCCCCGACAGGGCCCTATAGATGCCTCCAGCAGGGCCGCAGCCATCAGGTCTCCGGAGAGCCTCCTGGGAGCGTGACTATCGCTGCCCGTCGTCGAAGCACCGACACACCACACGCAAAAGGAGCTCCGACACACCGACAAACGGCACACTGACCCACCACACACAAGAGGAGCTCCGAAGCACCGACACGCCACACACCATCAGTATTTCAAATGAGCCCCGAAACACCGAAGTGAGCTCCTGGCGGCCTCCGCGAGGGCTCCCACACGGGCGCGCTGTCAGGTTCCCGGGGAGCCTTCCAGGAACCAGACTGTCGTCGCCCGTCGTCGGAGCAGGAAGTTCTCCAGTATTTCCTTGTGTTGCCCTAGAGAGCTCTTCGCGACAATGATCTCGTCAAAAAGTCCGAGGAAGACGAGGAGGAGGAGGAGGATAATGAGGAAGGGCCGAGTGCTCCCGCTCAAGAACACCCGTCAACCGAAAATAATTCGATCAGTGTGTGCTGAAGGTGCTGCATATATATATATATATATACACAAACATACAGACAGACCTACCTACCTACCTACATACATACATACATACATACATACGTACATCCATACATGCATGTATGCATACTTACACACACTTACAATATTGCAATGGCGCTTCGCGCCAAGCACCTTGGTTCTTGATGGTTGGCACGCAGGCGGAAAGGCAGGATGGTAAAACTGGCATCGTAGCGGCAACTCTTTGTTGCCTTCCCCGACGTCGTCGTATTCATCATCAATTCTTCATGCTTCCGACTGCGACGAAGATCACGACGACGACGACGACGATTGCGATGACGATGATAACGACGACGACGACAACGACGGCGACGACGATTACGACGGAATTGACGACGGCGACGACGACGCCTACGACGCCGCCGACGACGACGACGACGACGGCGAGTACGACGTTTTCGACGACGGCAACGACGATAACGGATATGACGACGACGGCGACGACAACGACAACGACGAGCACGACGTCGACGTCGGCGACGACGACGCGGACGGTGACGACGGGGATGACAACGACCACGACGTTCACGACGCTGACGGCGGCGACGTCGACGACGGCGACGGCGACGGCGACGAAGTGCACGACGACGACGACGATGACGGCCACGGCCACGACAACGACGACGACAACGATGATGACGACGACGACGACGACGGCGTCGCGGACGACGACGACGACGACGACAACGACGACGACGGTGACCACGACGACGACGACGGCGACGGCGACGAAGACGACGAACATGTCGGCAACGTCGACGACGACGACGACGACGACGGCCACGACGACGACGACGTCGGCGACGGCGACGACGACGGTTGCGACGACGACGTCGGCGACGGCGACGACGGCCACGACGGCGACCACGAAGACATCGAGCATGACGACAGCGACCGTGACGACGACGCCGACGACGACGACGACTACGACGACGGTGACCACCGCGACGACGACGACGACGACAACGACGATGGCGACGACGGCGACGGCGACCACGATGTTTCCGAGCATGACGACAACGACGACGATGACGACGCTGACGACGACGACGGCGACGTCAAGGACGACGACGGCGACGTCGGCGACGACGGCGAGGACGGAAAGCGCGGGAGGCACGCGACGCAGGGCGAATTATATCTATTCGAAGTTCGGGCCCGTCAATATTCGGACATTCAGGTCCGAGGATAGAGGACAACAAGGGACCTTGTCGTCGTCGTCTTCGCACCGGTCATCGTCGCCGCCGTCGGCGCTGCCAGCCGCCGCCACTGCCGCCGCCGCCGCTGGCGCGCGGGCGCCGGCGCCGAGTGGGGAGGGGGGGAGGGTTCGGGAAAGGGGGGGGAGGAGGGAGGGGAGTCCCCTTGGTTCTGGCCGGCGGCGCCAGATGTTGGATGGCGGGGGGGGCCAGGGTTCAAGCGCGCCACCGAGTGTTCCCAGGGCAAGCGCCCGTGAAACGCGCTCCCTCCGACAAAAACAAGAGAGGCCCCACCCCCCCGAAACCCCCAAGGGCCCTCCAGGACCGTTCCCCAAGGGCGTCCAGAGATAGACTGCCACAGTGGTTCTGCCAGTGCGGTTTTGATGCGGGCATCCTCTAGGTCCTCCTCGTGGCTGCCTTGTGCGACTTCCTAGAGCCTTATTCAGCGACCCCCGAAGCGTCCATCAGGTCAGAAAGCACACTCCCATAGTGTGATCCTTGCGGGATGATGTCCATCCGCATCCCATCTCTTGAGATTGGCTAAGACTGCGCTAGAACCTGAGCGCGCGCGAAGCGCGCGTGGGAAAAAGGATACCACCACCGCAACCAGGCAATACGACCCACAGCCCCTCCCCGAGCCGAGGACTGGGGGTGTCTCGAGCGGAGAAGGGGGACCACACCACCAGGAGCCCCCCTGCCTCTTCTCAGGAGGAGAAGAACACACAGACACAACTAATCGTCGATTCCCCAGAACATATGGGAAAATATGGGCAGTGGTGGGGAAGACATAAACCCAGAAAATATGGGAAAATATGGGGGATCCTTTTATTTGTGTGTGTGTTTATTTGTGTGTCCCAGGGCCCCTTCATCTTCGGGCTGGTGGTGGTGGTCGGTGTTGCCTGCCCTTTGCTCATATCGAAGCACCCCCCGCCCTCCCAGGGGAAGCCGCCGAAGGGCGGCGTGTCCCCGAGGTTTGCGCACCGCCGCCGGCCCCCATGATAGGGATGAGAGCGGTAGGCTGCGGATGTTGCCCTGGCCGCGCGGCCTCTGCCAGGCCCCGTCACCCCCGGCGAGCGGGGGTCGTCGGATTCCATTGCGAATACCTCAACACCTTCTTCGGGTGCTGCGCGTTGATTATGCTGCTCTACGCGTGGGTGTCGAAGTATTGGCTGATGATCAACCCGAGGGTGAACGCCCCTGAGACGCGCGTGATCAGCCCTTCCTACCTACTAGAGACGCGGGAGGCCATCAATATCTCTTTCTTAACGAGCTACTCCGACACCAAGCTTGAGCGATGGACGCTGAGCGACCACTGGAACCGGATATGCGGGGGTGAGATCCCACGGGGGAGCTGCATCGACTGTAGGGATATGCAGATTCTGGGTGACGTCCGGGTCATGTGCCATGAAGACGACGAGGAGCTGGCCGGGATAAACCAAGAACGTGCTCTCTCAGCCTCCTGTCGGTGGTTCAAAGATGGGGTGCTGAGGGATGGGGCCCTAAGGATGAGGTGCCTCGAACAACGTAAATCCACCTTTGGACCCCCTCCTATCCTTAGGTCCCCATCGCTCGGGACCCCATCTTTGAACCACCGATCCCGCTTGTCCCGGCGGCCTTTTTCGGTATGCGACGCCTCGTGGGTGGACGGCGCAGGCAGGGGGCCAGAGGCTCCAGGAGCGTGCAGAGATCTCACTGCCAAGGCCACCTCGAGAATCCGAGCGTCTCTCGGGGGCTCCATCCGCAGGCCCGGGCGGGTTTAGACGTTCGTTCGGGGGACCCTCTTGGGGCCCACCTAGCGGACCTGCTCGACTCAAGTTCGACTCTGAGTCAGCTCGACTCAAGGTCGACGGACGTTCGACGCAGCATCGACGCGCACCGAGTGGAGCGATTGGCTCCAGGAAGGTCCCCAGAGCGAGCAAGTTGACAGGGGTCCGCAGGCACATCAGTTGGGGTTCTCACGAGGGGCCGCGCGGCGTCCAAACATGGATCAAGGGTGCGTGGAGTAGCGACGGGTCCCGCTTCCATGGGACATCGCGGACTTCCGCCGCCCAGCGAGGCGGCACCGGCCGCAGTTTTGGGGAGGGCACCTCCCCCGATCCATGGTTTTTGGACCCACGGCCTGGGCCCTGCACCACACGTCGGCAGCTCTCGAGCCGAGGTGGATCCGTGCACGCCCCGTGGCCCCTGGCCACGGCTCTAGGTGAGACTGCGACGCACGGATCAGGAGGAGCAAAAACACACAGACACAATTCATCGTCGTTTCCCAGGAAAAAATATGTGAAAATGTGGGCAGTGGGGGGGGCGACAGAAACCCAGAAAATATGGGGAAATATGGGGAATGTTTTTGTTTATGCGTATTTATTTGTGTGTCCCAGGGCCCCTTCAGCGGATCCCGGGGCGGTTCGCGGCGAGGCGAGCGCCCAGGGCTCCCAGGGGGGCCCCCCCTCTATGGGGAACGAAGGGTGGCACAGACATCACGACTCGGAGGTCCGCGCGGATGGCTCGGATCTGCGCTGGACCTCCCTCCTCCTCCACCTCCTGCTGGGAGGGGGAGGAGGAGGAGGAGGAGGAGGAGGAGGAGGAGGAGGAGGAGGAGGAGGAGGAGGAGGAGCAGGAGGAGCAGGAGGAGGAGCAGGAGGAGGAGGAGGGGGAAGGCCCTCGCGCCTCGCCCGGCCTCCCCGAGTGGCCGGGGGGCGGCGTTCTCTCGTCCTGCTGGCCCTACGGGCCTCGCCGTGAAGGATTGGCTCGAGGGGCACTGATGCCATCAAGAGTCATAGAACCCCCGATCCTGATGATGCAGTCATGGCGTAGCCTATCTTTGGTCACCGTCTCAGCACCAGGGGTTGAAAAGGTATGGGTGGCTTGGGTTGATGCGCCCGGTTAACAGGACCCCCAAATCCTTGATGCTGTGGACCTCCTAAATTAGATCCCCTTCCAAAAGGGTTCGGGGTCCGTTGCTTTCAGGAGGGATACAAAAAAACACAGACACAATTATCCGTCGATTTCCAGGAACATATGGCAAAGTATGGGAAGTGGGGGGGAAGACGAACACCCCCAAATTGTAGGAATATAATTATATATGGAATATTTCTATGTGTGTATTGATTTGTGTGTCCCAGGGTCCCTTTAGACTTGCCAGCCATGATGTGGACGTGGCCCCTGAGAGGTCTCTTGCCGCCTCCGCTCGGGCCGCTCCCTGGGCCCACTAAGAGCACGACCCGGGGCGGCGCGCCGATGCCCCATGGGGAAGCTCTCCGGGGGTCCGGGGCTCCGTGGGCCCTGGAAACGACAGGGCCGGTTTTTTCTACCGGTCCCGTTTTGCAGTTCTTGCCGGTTCCGACGCCATTTTTGTTGCCGGTTCCGTCGCCGTGCTTTTACGGGTTCCCGCTCCGGTTCCAAAAATCTGGAGCCGTTGTTTTGTTGCCGTTTCCGGGCGCAGTGTTTTTGCCATTTCCATTTTCAAGGGGCATTTTTTTGGAAACGGTAAAAAATCAGCCCCACCGTTTCCGGGGCCCACTAAGAGCACGACCCAGGGCGGAGCGCCGATGCCCTGGGGAAGCTCTCCAGGGGTCCAGGGCTCGTCCGTCCCCTTCAGGTCAGGAGCGAGAGAAGGACGTGCGTACACGTGCATGAATCCACGTTTGTCTCGAGAGCACGCATTTTGCGAACGTTTGTGTCACGAGTCACGAGGCTGGTCTAGCGGACATGGGGGCCGTATTCACCTACGTGGTCGGGCGCGTACGTCTTCTGTGGGCTCCCTATCAGGGAGGCCTCTTCCTCGTGCCAATCGGCAGGGGCTTTGGTCGCCACCGCTGGGCGCAAGGGCGCCCTCGAGGGCGCGAAGTTATTCGCGCTTCGCGGTTCAGCTCCGATTCCTCCTAATCCTCTTCATCCTCCCCTTGGGGGCGGTGCGAAAGCGCGAAATCATTCGCGCTTCGCGCAGCGCGAAGCGCGAAGTATGGCGCCCTTGCTGGGCGCGGCTCGGAAAGCGTGCCTTGGGAGGGCTCGGATACTGGTGAGGGGCGGATGCCTGCTGGGATTCGGAGTTTGTTGTTTCGGAGGCGGGAGTGGGCAATGGGGGGTCCTTTCCGCTGCGTGCTTGTGCTCCTCTGTGGCACACGTCTTCGGGTCCGCTTGATACATGGCGTAGGCGTGCGGACAAACAGCAAGCAAGGGGGTGCGCTAACACCAAGCTTTGCTAGTCCTTTCTTCCACTATCTTCGCCTGAACTTGTCCCACCCAATCCTCCCACTTCTCCTATCCTAAATTTACTTCCTACTCCTTCTCCTCCTCCTCCTCCGCCTCCTCCTCCTCCATCCTCCTCCTGCTCCATTCACATCCTCCCCTTCTGCTTTTCTGCTTCCGTCTGCCCTTCGTCATCCTTCTTCGTCGCCCCATCCTCCAGCCCCTCCTCCCTTCAATTCTTCATCCCCCCCTGCACCTCCTGCCTCTCTGTTCCTCCCCCCAAATCGCCACTTGAGCACAGAGAAACTGCTGAAACACACAAGCTCTCCCCCCTCTCCCCCCCTCCCTCTTCCCTCCCCCTCGCCTTCCCCGCCCCTCCCACCCCCCGACGAGTACGACAGCAAGGGCTCGTTCGAGATCCCCAGCCGGCCGGCAGATCGCGTGGCGCATTGCCGCAACACCAGCACGACCACGACCATTTGCGAGCAGAGCACGAAGACGCCGTGCGAGATGGTCCTGAGGCGCGTCCGTGGTCGGATGAAGCTCCAACGCATTCACGGGGGGGCGTTGGGGGATCGCTCTTCCTCATCCTCCCCTGTCCTCTGCTCCTCTTCCTCCTCTTCCTCCTTCTCCTCCCCCTCCGCTCTCCTCCACCTCCTCCTCCTCCTCCTTCTCCTCCTCCTCCTCCTCCAGTAGGGTGTGTCAGTTCGCCTAACCCCCCAGAAACCCCTCATTGGTTTGTTTCGGGTTGTTTCGGGGGGATGTCCGAAGTTTTTCGCGAGGCTTTCCAAGGGGGGAGACCTGCGAACAAAAACACAACTCGGGAGTTCTTCTGAATTGTTTCGGGGGTTCTGGCGCCACACAATGAAAAAGCTATCCCCCCCCCGGAAGAAACACACCCACACACACACGCACACGCACACGCACACGCACACACGCACACACACAAACACACAAACACACAAACACACAAACACACAAACACACAAACACCCAAACACACAAACACACAAACACACAAACACACAAACACACAAACACACAAACACACAAACACACAAACACACAAACACACAAACACACAAACACTTTTTTACTAGCTCGAGAGGTCGCCCCGCGGCAAAGGAGGAAGAGGAGAGCAGAAGGGGGAGGGGGGAGAGGAAGGGAGGAAGCAGCAGCAGAAGCAGCAGCAAACGCAGAAGGAGGCGCGCCCGCCCGCGCGCGGACCGGCGGGCCCCCGCCTCAGCCGGGCTGCGGCTTTGCGCAGCCCGGCGCCGCGCCCCCGCGGCTAGGCCGCGGCGCCCAGGAGCTCGGCGAGCTCGAGGAGCTGCGGCGCGGCCAGGCGCGACACCTGCCGCGACACCCGGCCGCGGGCCGCAGGCAGACGCCGGCCCTCGGGCAGGCCGAGGTGGCGTGCGGCGGCCCGGACCGGCGTCCAGCCGCGCTGGAGGAGGTCGCACACCTCCTCGCGCAGCGCCTCCGCGGCCTCCGCGGCGGCCGCGTCCGCGGCCGCGGCCCGGGCCTCCGCCTGAGCGGCCGCCACAGCGCGGGCCGCCGCCTCCGCGCGCGCCGCCGCCGCGGCGCCTGTGGCGGCTCCGGCGACCGCGCCGCCAGCCCGCGTGTCCCCCGCGGGCAGGGTCGTCGCCGGCGGGGCGTAGAGCCCGGCGGCCTCCTCCGCCGCCAGGTCAGCCCAGAGCCGCCGCTTCGCCGGCTCCGCTCCCGGCGCGGCCGCCCCCGAGGCCAGCGGGGCCGCCGGTGGGGCCCCAGCTCCAGGCGCTGCCGCCGCGGGCGGAGCGGCCGTTGGAGCCCCCGCTCCCGGCGCTGCCGCCGCAGGCGGAGCTGCCGTCGGAGCACCCGCTCCCGGCGCTGCCGCCGCCGCAGGCGGAGCCGCCGTCGGAGCTTCCGCGGCGGGGGCCGCCTGGCCCCGCGCCCGCGGCGGGGTGGCGACGGCGGCAGCCGCGGCGCGCCCCTGCTCAGCCGGGGCCGGGGAGCCTGAAGCGCCAGCCTCGCCCGGCTGGCCTGCGAGCTGCGCCCAGTCGAGCCCGTCGTACTCGCGCTCGATGGGGTGCTCGCCCGCGTCTAGCGGGAGCGCCGGCGGCCCTCCCGTCGGAGAAGGCCGGCAGCCACCGCCTCGGCTAGGACGCCAGCCGCGACCCCCTCGGCCGCGAAGCCCCAGCCGCTCGCCCTGAGCGCCGCCGCCACCGCCTCCGCGGGGGGCGCTGCCTGCGGGTCCCTCGGGCCCTTCGCCCGCGGCGCGCTGCCCGCGCCGCCGGCCGCCGCGGCGGCCGCGCCGCCGCCGGACCCTGCTCCTGGCGCTGCCGCTGCCTGCGGAGCTGCCGGTGGAGCCCCAGCTCCCGGCGCTGCCGCCGCAGTCGGAGCCGCCGTCGGGGCCCCTGCTCCTGGCGCTGCCGCCGTGGGCGGAGCTGCCGTCGGAGCCCCTGCTCCCAGCGCTGCCGCCGTGGGCGGAGCCGTCGCGGGAGTCCGCGCCGCCGCCCCCGGGGAGCCGCTCCCGGAGCCGCTCGTGGCGTCGCTGTAGCTGCTGCCGCGGCTGGCCGGGGCAGCCACCGCCGCCGCCGCCGCGCCCGGCCCTGCGAGAAGCGTCCCGTCCGCGGGGAGCTCCTGCTCGCGGCTCCGGCCGGCCGCCCGTGCGGGGGAGCTGCTGGAGCCGCCGCCGCGGGGTCGCCGGCCCGGGGGGCTCGCTCGCCGCTCGGCGCCCGCCGCGGGGCAGCTCGTGGCCGCTGCCTCCGCCCTGCCCGGGGGGGCTGGGGAGCGGCCGCGCGTGCGGCTGCTCCGGCGGGTGCGGCGCCGGCGGGTAGCCCGCTCGCTCGGGCTGCGCTCCCGGTGCGGGCGCCTGCGCCGGCGCCGCGGCTCCCGGGCGCTGGGGCTGCTGCTCGAGCGTGCCCTGCGCCGGCGCAAGCGGCGCCCAGTAGCCTGCGTCGCCGGCCCCTGCCCAGCCCGCGGGCTGCGGGCGCGCGCGGGCGCCGCGGCGCGGCCGGGCCCAGGGGGCGCCGTCGTCGGCGCCTCCCTCCCGCGCAGGAGCGCCGCCTCCCGCCGGGGGGGGGTCACCGGGGCCGGCCGCAGCGTCGCCCTCGGCGCCGTCGCCGGCGCCCCCGCGGGAGCCGGCCTCGAGCCCGGCCGGGCCTTCGCCGGAGGGGGCGGCGAGGGTGCCCTCTGCGGGGCCCGCACCCGCACCCACGGGGTCCGCATCGGCGCTGCCGAGGGGGCCCTCGGAGCTGCCGCCTGCGGCCCAGGTGCCGGGTGCCACGGGCACTCCCCCACACGCTCCCCGCGCGACTGGGGTAGCGTGGACCCGCCAGCCCCAGCCCGCGGGGACGCAGGGCACTGGGACGCACAGCCAGGTGCACGTCTGCCCGCCCGGTTGCCACGAGACGGCATGGCTGCCCGGGTGCATGCGCCGCCCCGCGGCGCCCGCAGCCCGGCCAAAACAGCAGGTGGGCCCTCGAGCCCACGGCCGCGGCAAGTTCCCAACCCCCCCCACGGGGGTTGGGAACTTGAACACAAACACACAAACACACAAACACACAAACACACAAACACACAAACACACAAACACACAAACACACAAACACACAAACACACAAACACACAAACACACACAAACACACACAAACACACACAAACACACACAAACACACACAAACCACACAAACACACAAACACACAAACACACAAACACACAAACACACAAACACACAAACACACAAACACACAGACACACAAACACACCAACACACCAACACACCAACACACCAACACACCAACACACCCACACACCCACACACCACACACCACACACCACACACAACACACAACACACAACACACAACACACAACACACAACACACAACACACAACACACAACACACAACACACAACACACAACACACACAACACACACAACACACAACACACACACACTCCAAAACACAGGCAAACATCCCACCCACCCAACTCGGGAGTTTTTGGTGTCCTTTTTTTTTATTGAGGTTCTCAGCCAGCCCAGGCTCCAGGGGTAAAACCCCGGACCCCCCTCCCGAGCTCGGCTTTTTTTATCCGCAGATCTTTCCGGGGGCTCTGGAGCACCGCAGTAAACGCACACAGCCATTTCTGAGCCCCCCCTCGAAGAAACAAAGACAAGAACCTTAGCTCGAGGATTTTCTGTGTTTTTGTCGGGGGGTCTCTGGCCAGCCCAGGCTCCAGGGGGAGGACCCCCCCACAAAAAAAAATCTAACTTGCGCATTTGGGTTTTGTTTCTGGGGGTCCTGGACACCACGAGTTAAGTCAATACAATGTTCGAAGCCTTCCCGAACACTTTTCCGATACAAGCAAACACAGCTCGAAGGTTTTTCCGGTTGTTTCGGGGGTTCTCGGGCCAGCCCTGGCTCCAGTGGTGAAAACCCCCGACCCCCACCCCCAATTCGGTTTTTTTTCAGAAGTTGCTCGGGGGTTCTGGGCCCCCCACATTTAAACACAAAAAATATGCTGACACCACCCCTCCAGAAAAAACCATAGAACAACCGCTTGACTCAATTCGTTGTTTTGGTTGTTGTTGGTTCTTTTCTGGGTTTTTTCGAGGGCTCTTTGACCAGCACAGGCTCCAGGGGGGACAGCTCCAGAACCAAAATCGCCAACTCTGCTCTGTTTATTGGTCTTTCTGGGGTTCGGGGCCTTGCACTTCAAAACACAACTAGTTGTGACAATTCTTTGAACAAACAACAGAGCAACCCCGCGGCGAAAAAAAAAATATTTAAAACACATTTTGGTTCCTGTACTTGTTCGGGAGTTCTTCGGCCAGCCCATGCTCCAGGATTTTCCGGGGAGGAAAGCACTCGAAAACTCCTCGGGTTTTTCTTTAGTTATTCGGGGCTTCTGGGGGCCCGCAATGGGACACTTTTTTATGTTTGGAAATCCAGCGAAAAACTGCCATCGCAGGCCCCAGGATTCTCCGGAAGGGGAAACCCTCGGGCAAAAACAAATTGATTCGGATAATTTTCTAAGGTTTTCAGCGGTTCTTGGGCCCCGCAACTAAAGACAGCATTATGTTCGACCCTCCCCGAAAAAGTCCTAACGCCCCCCTAACAGGGCTAAGTGGCATAGCGTTCGGGGCCACATGGGGTTGGTAGCTATAGGTGAGGTCAGGTCGTAGTGCGTGGGTGGCTTAGGTCTTCGAGGTGGGAAGTGGTCAGGTTTTTTGCGTACCGGGCCTCTCCATGCGTCCAACAATTAGTTTTCGTAGTCAGTCGCGCCGTGTAGCTCTACGTATTCAGGTTGGTCGTATGTGGATGGTGGTGTGATGTGTCTGCGCTTCTTCTCCGGTATGCATGTGGCCGAAGGTGTGTGTGTAGTGTTGATGCACCTGAGGTGTATAAGGGCGTCTGCCAAGCAATTGGTTAGTGACAGTAGCTCTGAGCCTGCTGTGTTTGTTTGGGTTGTGGGTCGGCCATTGAGCTGAGGAACGTGGTCCTGTTGTCCCTTGTGAACTTGGTGCGTATGCCGAGGTCCGCGTCGATCTGGAACTCGTATTGTTTGCCATGCTGTTGGTAGAAGATCTTGTACAGGGTCTTTATGCTTCTTTCGGTGCCGTCTAAGTTGAAGTGTAGGTACCTTAGCCTTATCACGGTTTTGTTGATGTCGTTGTTGAGGTTTTCCCAGGGCATGGTGACAAGCGGGTGTCGTCTTTTTTAGTAGTTGGTCGGATCGTCTTCCACAAATGGCTGCTGTTCCTGCTCCTCTTCCTCCTTCCTCCTCCTCCTCCTTCTCCTCCTCACTCCTCCTCACTCCTCCTCCTCCTCCTCCTCCTCCTCCTCGTCCTCGTCCTCTTCCTCCTCTTCCTCCTCCTCCTCCTCTCTCCTCCTCCTCCTCCTCCTCCTCCTCCTCCTCCCCTCCTCCTCCTCCTCCTCCTCCCTCCCCCCCCCCTCCCCCCCGAGCCGAAATTTCTGACAGTTTTTTGCAAGGGAGGCGCCGTTGCTCGCCACCACCCCAGGGTGCAAAAAGGGTATCTCCCGCTTCTCATCCTCCTCCTCCACCTCCTCCTCCTCTTGTCCTCCTCCTTCTCCTCCTCCTCCCTCTCCTGTTCCTCCCTCCTCTCCCTCCCTCCTCCACCTCCTTCTCCTCCTCCTCCCTCTCCTCCTCCCCTCACTCCTCCTCCTCCTCCTCCTCCTCCTTCTCTTCCTCCTCCTCCTCCTCCTCCTCCTCCTCTTTCTCCTCCCCCTTCTCCTCCATAGTTGTTCCTCATGAATAATTCCTCCCTGTCGCACCCCGGGTCAAGTTTTTAGGTCGGACCGGGCGTTTCGCCTGAGACTTCCTCACCATTTATGTTGCTGGAACTCAAACTTGGAAACAGTTTCAGTTTCACAGATGGAGGGCTGGCCGTTTTCGACATGTGGTTCTCGCCTTAGCGCCGCGGCACATTCGTTTTAAACATGTGCAATAATTCCACAGATGGATGGCGGGCCTTTTTCAAAATGTGTTTCTCGCCTTAGCGCGACGCAAACTTCTTTTGAACAGTTGCAAGAGTTTCACATATTGAGGGCGAGTTGTTTTCAACATGTGGTTCTCGCTTTAGCGCCACGCACATGTGTTGTCAACATTTGCGAGGGTTTCACGGAATGAGGGCGGTTCTTCTTCAAGATGTGGTTCTCGCATAAGCGCTGCGCACATTCGCTTATAAGTTGTACAAGAGCGTCACGGATGCCCATGATCAACTTACAAGAAATGGTGTTTCGGAAGGGTTCAGGAATATGCGGGTGCAGCAGTATGTAGTTTCGCGGTGTTGAAGTCCCAGGCATGATTTACGATCGCCAAGACGCAACAGTCAGGTTGATCGCTGGCGCTGGAATGACGAGAACAATGTTTATGCATGCTTCAGGGTCTTCAAAAGGTTGTCTTCCAACGAGGCAGTTCCCTCAAAGGAAATCAACCGTTATAAGGGGCCTATGGAGAGGGAATTTGGAGGCAAGGTTGATTCCAACATCGTTGAAGACTCTTGGTTTTACACTGGTCCTCCTCGTCCTCCTCCCCGTCGTCCTCCTCCTCCTCCTCCTCCTCCTCCTCCTCCTCCTCCTTCCTCTCCTCCTCCTCCCCCTCCCCCGCCTCCCCCTCCCTCCTCCTCCTCTCCTCCCCCTCCTCCTCCTCCTCCTCCTCCTCCTCCCCCTCCCCCTCCCCTCCCCCTCCTCTTTCCCCCCCGTCCCTTCCCTCTCCCTGGGGAGAGCAGGAGGCGGCCCCGCCGCACCAGCGTCGGGCACCTCGGAGCCCCGGGAGCAGGCGGCGACGCCTCTCTCGGGCGCAGGGCGGCTGCGCGGCAGGCTCGCGCCCTGCCGGCGTGGCGGCGACCCCCCGCGCGGCGGCGCCCGAGGTTGAGCGCCGCCGGTGGCCCCGAGTCGGCCGATGTGGAACGGCCTGCGCTGACGTTGAGCCGGGCCTGTCCCATCTACAGGCGGAACGTTCAAGCACAGTTCGGGGGAGCGTAAGACCCGGGTTTGCCAGGACTCGGGTTCGCCATCGTTTTTCGACGACCGCGACTCGGATTTTGACGAGTAGGAGTTTCGTGGGATGTCTGCAGCGGGAGGCCTCGTCAAAATGCAGGCTCGGCCTCGTCATTTTTTTGACGACCTCGTCGGGGATTTCCGAGTCCCCTGTACCCGGGTCTTACGCCCCCCTGAACAGTAACAGACACAGCCTGGGGGCGATGTTTGGACTATGTTTGCGTATTGGGGGGGGGGCTTTCTTGGCGATTTTTTTTATTTTTCGCCCAAAATCACCCTGGAGGGGAACACGCCCGACTTCACGCTGACGCAAAGCCGCGATCATTCAGTTCGGTATCGTGTAACCGATCCCCATCCCCATCCCCATCCCCCTCGAGACCCCCACCAGATTGCCACCCCACTTGGGGATACGCCCCTCGAAACCCGAAGGGAGAGAGAGGCCTATATCCCCATCTAGGGGGTAAATCGGCCAGTGGGGCCCAGGCCACGCCGCTGGGGACGGGGATCCGTTAAACGATACTCATCAGTATTCCACGATTCGAGCGGCATTAGAATAAGCCAGCGCCAGAGCCGTCGCTACACGGACTTGTCGCGTGTTGGCCGGCAGTTGCTCTTGTTGGCACCCGCTCGAGCGCTGGAAAGTACAGTCGGCTGCGCCTGGGCCTCCTGGCTCGCTGGTTGTTCAAGCCGTCGTGGAGCCTTTTGTAAAGCCTCTTGGGTTGCGGAGGGTCGATCTTGGAGGTTTCTTGGGCCGTTGTGGGCCGCGTGGAAGCCCAGAATGCGAGTGTGCTGAAGAGGTGCGTTTCCCATAGGGAATGGGACAATGTTTGCTTCTGGAGGGCCTCCGTGGGACGCCTCGTAGTATTCAGTCGGGCCTGTCCCCTACAGGGGGATTTTCGACGAAGAATAAAAGATACCCCAAAAATAATCAAACAATCATCCAAAAATAGTCTGGGGACGGGTATTTTTTATTTTTCGTCGAAAAATCCCCCTGTAGGGGGACAGGCCCGACATCATCGTAGTACTTTTTCAGCCCTCCACCTGAGGTACGGCTGCGAGAAGGGTCCGCCGGAGCAGGCCGACAAGGTCTGCCCCATCGGCTACCAGGAGTGCCCGAAGCACAAGGTCAAGCAGTGGCGAAGCGTCCTGGCGTGTCTATAGTCCTACCAAACAATGTTCTAATAATCTTTTGTGGGTCCCACGACATGTTCTTAGTACATTCCTGGTTGTGCCTGCCTTGGTTAAACACATCGGGTTTTGTTCTAAGGACATTGTTTCTGTTCTTAGAACATTTTGGGGTTCTAAGAACAGTTCATGGCAGGACTATAGAAATGCCGGGACGGTCGGTCCCTGCTCAACAAGGGGCTTGAGGCCGTGTGCCCGCCGCGGGAACATGAGAATGTCGGCTGGAGGGATTTCACCTGCTGCTTCAATGGGACCCAGGTGGGTCTGCCGCTCTACGGCGTCCGGGAGGCCCCGACCTACGTCCAGGTGTTCGGGTACATGAAGTGGGCGCAGAAGCAGACGAAGAGGTACACTTCTGAAGACTACTGCCCCTGGCGTGGGTACCGCTGCCAGCTGCTCAATGACTTTGCCTCCAACGGGATAAAGTGCAACTTCTTGCTGGGCATCGAGGCCTGCGCCTTCCTCCTCCCCCTCCAGACAGCGTCAGCAGGAAGACTCTTCTTTGCTCTGGGAGGGGCAACGCACTTCGCTGGGACAACGGCTGGGCCGAGAGGCTCCACCTGCAGGGCTCCCGGAACTAGACCGCCAGCTCTTGCGCTGCTCGGCGACATCGGCGCCACCCCAACATACTAATGCTATGCGGGCGCCGCCCCCCAGAGGCGACGCGCGCGCCGAGAAATCTTCTAGTCTATGCGTCGTGGTGGGCGCTTTCTGGCCGTGGCGCTCGGGAAACGACCTCCTACGAGGTGGGTACACGACCTCCTACGACGCGCGCGCGCCGAGAAATCTTCTAGTCTATGCGTCGGGGTGGGCGCTCTCTGGCCGTGGAGTTCGGGAAACGACCTCCTACGAGGTGAGTGAGGTGACGATGTGTCTGGCGCCTCCGGCGCCAAGGCCCGTGGCGCGTGACGAGGCCTCCGCGCGCCGAGCCCTCGGCCTCCCCCGCCCGCCAGCTCGGGGAGACGTCCCCGCTCCTCGGGGGCTCGCCCCGCCGTCGCCCCCGCGCGCCCCCCCCCCCCATTCTCCACCCTTCGTTTGAGTCGGGCGCGTCCCCCTACACAGGGGGACCTTCGACGAACAAAAGCAGGATACCCCAAAGCATAGTCAAAAAATAGTCCAAAAATAGTATGGGGACTATTTTTTGGAGTCGTTTTTGGCCATTTCGGTGCTTTCTTTTGCGTATGTTTCACCTTTCGCCCAAAATCCCCCTGTAGGGGGACACGCCCGACTGAACCCTTCGGCCCTGCGTCCGGGCCCGCGCCCGCCCTGTTCCTCTCCTGCCGAGAGCGAGAGCTGCGCAAGCTCCAGAGCCTACGGAGGTCCGCGCGGATGTTTTCCCTGGTCGGCGTTGGGCCACCCACGGCGGCGCCTCCGGCGCCGCCTCTGGCGCGCCCGCTACGCCAGGGAGGAGGTCCGGCGCCCGAGCTGGTTTTTTTTTTTTTTTTTCTTTTTTTTTTCTTTTTTTTTTTTCTTTCTTTTTTTTTCAGTTTTCAGTTTTTTTGTCTTTTTTTTCTTTTCAGTTTCTCTTTTTTTCTTTTTTTTTTCCCTTTTGTCTTACATTTTCTTTTTTTTTTTTTTTTGCAGAGAACTCCTCTCTTTCTTTTCTTTTTTTTTTTCAGAGAAGTGCGCACAGACCCTCTTTCTATTTTTTTTTTTTTTTTTTTTTTGTTTTTTTTTTTTTTTTATTTTTCTTTTTTTTTTTATTGTTTGTTTCTCTTTTTTTTTTTTTTGTTTTTTTTTCCCAGAGTGACGGTGTCTGTGCCGATGTCTTGTCTTGCTCTACTTGTTCTTATTTCTTCGTCTTCTTTTTCTTCTTAGTACTATGTTGGTATGTTTAATTCGTGCCATTATTCTGATCGCATTCGTTTTCTTACATTTTTCTGGCGCTTCCCCCTCCTCCTTTGCCTCCTCCCTCCGCTTGAGAGGCCATCGCCCTCTTCCTCGCCGTGTGTCTCGGTTTCTCCCGCTACCGCCACAAGTTTATGTCCTTCATCGCGGTCCTGTACTTGGCCGCCGGCGGGACAGGATCGCTCGCCATGTTCACATTCAAGGCTCATCCTCCCCATCCTCCCTTCCCCCCAGGCACTCCTCCCTCCCTCTTGCCATGATTCCTCCTTCCATGCCTCCTCCTTCGCCTCCCTTGCCTCTCCTGATCCTCCTCCTGTCCTTCCCGTTCCACCCTTCTCAGCGGAGGAATGACGACATGAAACAAGCGCTTGGCCTCGTGGGACGCCTGTCCCAGGGCCACTGTGAAGTTCTTACGTCCACCATGGACGCGTCGGGGCACACGCTTCCCAGCCGCCTGGGGACGGGTATCCACGAGGGCGGAACAGTATATATATATATATATATGTATATATAGATAGCTTCTACCAGTATTCTTCCGTTGATCCTCCGCTTCTCTTCTCATGGGTATGAGTCAGCTGTATGCACACGGACGCCCTGAGGCTCGCGCAGGTGTCCTGGGCCGGCGCGACCCCGAGGCGCCGCCCAGGAGGGGCCCAGCGTCGGCCCAGGAGACCCGCGCGGACCTCCGGAGTGTACACCTCAGGCGATGCTTAAGAAAACTTCAGTTTTCGGCCAGAGTCTCAATTACTCAGGAGGGAAAAAAACACACACACAGACACAATTATTCGTCGATTCCCAGAAAATATAGGAAAATATGGGAAGTGGGGGGGAAGACAGAAACCTAGAAACTATAAGAAAATATGAGGAATATTTTTATTTGTGTGTATTTATTTGTGTGTCCTGGGGCCCCTTCAACTTAAGTTTTCGGCCAGAGTCTCGATTACTCTGAACGTTTCCATGTAAATCTTAAGATTGTAAAGAAGTGTTGGGTTTTCATTCAAGTCCTGAGAGTATGAGTTTCTCAACCCATGATTTCTTGAGCATTTCGCAGGGTGTATGTTTATGCAGTCTGTTTCCTTCTATCCCTCGCCCCCTCCCAGGTGGACACCAGACGCACCCTGATGCGATCGATGAGCGAAGTGGACAGCTGGGGCCGGCCATACGTGCACCCGGTCTTCTCCTCCTTCGCCTCCCCATCCTCCCTTGTGCCTTGGGAGCATCCTGAAGGTGTGCGCTAAGAAGCTCACCCTAACAGGAGGAACGCTGCAGGAGAAATTCTAGCCGCTTCGCCTAAACCCACGAGAGTGTTCCTTGCTTGGGGCATGACGGGCGTCATGGCACCCGCCGCCCCCCCCTATGACGTAACGCTCCCCCCCCCCAGTGCGCGTTGGGCACTGCCGCCTTGCGCATCGGGATCCGCATACGAATGTCCACAGTCGTCGTTGTCGTCGTCGCCATCGTCGTCGTCATCGTCGTCGTCGTGTTCGTCGCTCGTCGCTCGTCGCCCATCGTCGCCGTGCGCGCGGACGCGGCCAGAAACGTGTGTTGTGTTTTTTCATAAAAGAGTCGGAGGCGACGACAGCGATCACCTGGGAAGGGGGGGAGGGGGCCAGTGACGTCACGTTTCGCGCCGGCGGCGTCTGGGATTGCCTAGGAATGACCGAGGCCGGGTAGCAGTAGCATGTAGCTGGCGATCTGCACCGCAGCGCTTGTATACACCACACTGCTTGCGTGCACCACAGCGCTGGTGTACACGACACCGCCTATGTACACCATACAGCCGCGTGCAACACAGCGCCAGTGTGTGCCACAGTGCCTGCGGGCACCGAAGCGATTATGTACACCACAGCGCTTGCGTACATCACATCCGCCGTGTGCAACACAGCACCTGTGTACACCACAGTGCCTGCGTGCACTACAGCGCCTGTGTAGACCATGGCGCCTGTGTGCACCACAGCAGCCTTGTGCAACAGAACACGACTGTTGCACATAGAATTTCAGAATGGCATCCTTATAACAAAATGGAGCTCCTGTGGACTCCACAGAAACAACTGTGTATATATGATTTGGAAGGGAATCAATTTGGAAAAGCGAGCGCCGCCTGAGTATACGAATCCTCCCGAGACCGCCCGCATCATCCTAGCTCTTCCCGTATGCGTCCAGGAGGTTCCAGCAGAACTGGCCACTCGAGAACCAAGTGGAAGCTTCATTCGGCCATTGTGAGGTGCACGCTGAGATGCGCACGTGCGCTGCAGCGCCGACCCGCACGACAGGGGGGAAGGGTGAGGGAGGAGGAATGGGAGGAATGGGAGGAGGAGGAGGAGGAGGAGGAGGAGGGAGGAGGGAGGAGGAGAGGAGGAGGAGGGGCAGGAGCAGCCGGAGGAGGAGGAGGAGGAGGAGGAGGAGGAGGAGGGGGGGAGAGGAGGAGGAGGAGGAGGCGGAGGAGGAGGAGGAGGAGGAGGAGGGCGGGGGGGGAAGGTGGGAAGGGGGAGTGGGGGAGTGGGGAGGAGGGCGGGGGGGGGGGGGGGGGGGGGGAAAAGGAGGGCGGGAGTGGGAGGAGGAGGAGGAGGAGGAGGAGGAGGAGGAGGAGGCGGACGAGGACGAGGAGAAAGAGGAGAAAGAGGAGAAGAGGAGGAGGAGGAGGAGGACGAAGAGGACGAGGAGGGGGGGAGGTGGAGGAGGGGGAGGAGGAAGTGGTGGAGGAGGGAGGAGGGGAGGACGTCGCAGTCGATTATCAGCACTTCCCTGGCGTGGTGCTTAGCTGTCCGCAGCAGATCCTCATCGACATGCTCCTTTCACTCGTCCTGTGCACGCAGGCGTTGTGGTGTACACCAGCGCTGCGTTGCACGCGGATGTTGTGGTGCAGACAAGCGCCGTGGTGTGCACAGGCTTTGCGGTGCACGCAAGCAATGTGGTGTACATGGGCGCTGTGTTGCACATGGTTGCTGCGGTGTGCACATTCGCTGTGGTATACACCAGCGTGTGGTGCACGCAAGCACTGTGGTGTACGCAGGCGCTGCGTTGCAGACGGCTGTTGCGATGTACGCTACGCAGGCGCTGAGGTGTACACGCGCGCTATGTTGCACGCGAGCATTGTGGTGTACACATGCGCTGTGGGGCAGATCTACACCTGCATGCTGCTCGCGTCGTCGTCGTCGCTCGTCGCTCATCGTCGTGTGCGCGGGCGCGGCTGTGGTGCCGCAGCCACACGGCGGGGGGGGGTGGTACGTCGTACCCCGACCCCCCTTTCCCCCCATGACGCCCGTCATCGCCGAAAATAGCGAAATGTTTCCACCAGCCCGCCCACAAACGATGCCCAGGCGAGTTGCCCTGATCAAGGATGCGTAGGAGCACGCAGTGGAACAGCAGGCTGGTGATGCCGTCGTGCCCCAAGAGGGGGAGGATGGAGACGGAATCGCCGTCGTCGTCGTCGTCGTCGGAGGAGGAGGAGGAGGAGGAGGAGGAGGAGGAGAAGGGGGGCGAGGGATGGAGAAGGCAGGGGAGGAGGAGGACGAGGACGAGGAGGAAGGAGGAGGAGGAGGAAGAACAGGCGGAGGAAGAGGTGGAGGGCGAGCGTAACGTCAGAGGCCTAATGGTTGCATCTCGGAGTCTCTTCGGATGTCTTCCGACAGCTTCTCGGAGCCCTCTTGGGGTGCCTTCGGGGGCATCTTGGCGGTCCCCGGGGCCCTGCCCTGGAGCGTCTTGCGTGCCCCGGGGGAGCCTCGTGGGGCCTCCTGGGAGCCTCTTGGGAGCCTCTTGGGGGCCTCTTTGGAGCCTTTCGGGGCCTCCTTGGCGCCCCTCGGGGCCTCCCTGGGGCACTCCTGTGGGTCTCGGGGGCCATCTTGGGGACATCTTGGAGGAGATCGATCAACGAAGCGGGGTGTACTTCATTCTTCGCGCTTCGCGCATCCCCCTTTTCTGCTCGTAGCCCGAGCCGGCCTGTGACGCCGCGGGCGCCTTCGCCTGCGGCTGCGACAAAAAAAGTACAGTCGGGGCCCTGAAGAAGGAAACCTTCTCGTTGGGGAGGGGCTCCGCGTTCCTTAAGTGTTTCACAGCTTGCCTCAGGCTTTCCTTAGGTTTCCGATACGAGATCGACGGTTAACTTATGGAAAAAAGGGGCCTCGTTCCTTATTCAGGGTTCCTTAGGTCAACGCCTCGACTGTATCCCCAACCAGCCCGTTCCGAAACCTTGCCCGTGGGAGCTGGCGGGCAAAGGCCCCCGCGCCCCTCGCGCCCCCCCGCGCCGATGACAGCGCGACGCAGGCCTCATCGATGACGCATCTGAGCCGCCGGCCTCTGGAACATCCTGGAGGGCCCTGACGGCCTGCCCCCTAGCAGTGCATCCCCCTGCAATTCGCGCAACTCGCAGGGGGACGACGGGACACACACATGGTGGAGCAGCGCGAGCAGCCGGGCTGAACAGCTAGATCTCTGCGAGCAGGTGCGCGGCCTCGGAGGGCCCCTTCGAGCCCGCAGAGGGATCGAGGGGTCGAGGTGTCGAGGGGGAGGAGGAGGAGGAGGAGGAGGAGGAGGAGGAGGAGGAGGAGGAGGAGGAGGAGGAGGAGGAGGAGGAGGAGGGAGGAGGAGGAGGAGGAGGAGGAGAGGAGGAGGAGGAGGAGGAGGAGGAGGCGGAGGAGGAGGAGGAGGAGGAGGAGGAGGAGGAGGAGAGGAGGAGGAGGAGGAGGAGGAGGAGGAGGAGGAGGAGGAGGAGGAGGGAGGAGGGGAGGAGGAGGGAGGAGGAGGAGGAGGAGGAGGAGAGGAGGAGGAGGAGGAGGAGGAGGAGGAGGAGGAGGAGGAGGAGGAGGAGGAGGAGGAGGAGGAGGAGGAGGAGGAGGGAGGGAGAGGAGGAGGAGGGGGAGGAGGAGGAGGAGGAAGGAGGAGGAGGAGGAGGAGGAGGGGGAAGGAGGGGGGGAGGAGGAGGAGGAGGAGGAGAGGAGGAGGAGGAGGAGGAGGAGGAGGAGGGGAGGAGGAGGAGGAGGAGGAGGCAGAGGAGGAGGAGGGGGCAAACCACATCTCTTGGGGCCCCTGTGGGACGCTCTTGTGGCGCTCTTGGGCGCTCTTGGGGCTTCCTTGGGTCCCGCGTGGGATCCCCGGAGGACCTGGAGGCCATCTTGGAGGCTATCGATCAGGGGAGGGGTCTTGTATATAGGCCCACCCAAGGGCACTCAAACCATCGTTTCGGGCCTTAATGGGGCGTTCTTGGGCCGTGGCCGTTTTGGAGGCCTCTCGGGCCCCTCTTGGGGCGCTCTTGGGCCATCTTGGGCAATCTTGAGGCCTCTACAGCGTATCGGAAGCGAAAAGGCGAGAACCCACAAATCATTGACTTCCCTTGATTGTTGAATGGATGTTGGCCTCTTGGGGGGGGTCCTGAGGGGGCTCCGAGAGCACTTGGAACCGTCTTGTGGCCCTCGTCGGGCCTCTTGGAGGTATGTCTGAAGCTACCTTGAACCATCGTCGGCTCTCTTGAGCCATCTTGCAGACGATGCTTGCGCATCGAGGGCCTTCTGGGAGCCATCCTGGGCGAAACAGGACCTCTTCACACCTCGCGAACCCCCAAGGCAACCTCAGGGAGGGGAGTGGGAGGACACCCTCCCCCAAGAAAAGAGGGCTAAGGGAGAGGAGCGAATGACATCGACAGACCACCTACGCCCGAAGGGCTGGTGGGATTGGGCCCCCGCTCCCCCCCAAGGGGGCAACTAGTTGTCCAACACCTCAGTACAAGCAGTAATGTGTGCCTTCTAGCCGAGGCCGTCTTGGACGCTCCGATCGGTCGCGAAACGCCCCGCCCAGGTCCAGGGGAGCGGGTAGGGGGAGGGGGCAAGACACCCTCCAGATAGCACGCCGTCTAGCTCACTCCCACCCGCCCTCCCAACACAGAAGTAACACCCGAGCCTCAGCATGTTCCGCGGTCGTCTTTCGATGTGCAGCTACTCGGAACCACAACCGAACCCATGTGCGCGACGCTGGGGCGAGGTGCACCACGCGTGCCAGGCGCGCCACGCGCGCCAGGCACCCCTTTGGCCCGAGCGTGCCAGGCACGCCCAGTGCGCCAGATGCTCCCTCCAGCCGCGCAAGGTGCGCCACGTCCGAGGCACGTGCAGGCGGCTCGTGCAGAGTGTGTCAGGTGCGCCTGCGCACGTGACAGCACACATCGGGAAACGTGCCGGCCCCCACCATCCCTGTCGAAAACCAATGCCCATCACTGTGCCTGGTGGGCCTGCGCACAGCAGGCCATCCGCCACCACACCCGCCGTCCTTGACAAAAACCACTTGACAATGATCGCGGGGTGGCCGCGCACTATCCACAGTTAGCCGCGAAGTGCATTTTGTATTGTGTGTTTGTCAGGGATGGTAGCCCTGAGCGCAGCAGGCAATATGCTGACGCCCCCGCCGTCCACTTCGAAAAACAATGCAAAGTACCCGCGGGCCTCACGAACATGACTCCAGACGTTGTCCCAGAGTGTACTGTGTATTGTTTTTTTGACAGGGATGGTGGTGGGGGCCGCATCGGGTTGGTTGCGCATGCTCCCAATTTGGAGGCAGAGTGCGTTTTGTATTGTTTTTTGTCAGGAATGGTGGGAGGTGCGCATGGTGTGCGCATGGTTCCCGGTTGGCTGCCGGCCGGGTGGGGGAGGGGGTGTTTATTGATAGGGAACAGTGATGAACCTTTCCCCGGAGGGGAAGAGAGGGGTTGGAAGAAGAAACGAGCTAAGCCACTCACGCCCTAAAGGGCTGGCGGGATTCAAGAGGGGTGACCCCGCCTTCATTCCCATCAGTGCCTGCCTTGATTGCGGGGCAGGCATAGCTGCCCTTTTGAAATATGATGGTTTGTATGTCCTCCTCCTTCTCCTCCTCTGGCGAGGCTCCGGGGCTGCGTGCAGACAGACCGCTGGAGGCAGCCGCGGCTGCCCCCAACTCCAGGCCACCCAGATGGTGCCAGAGGATCGCGCCGAATCGCCGATGCATCGGCGACGCGGCGCGATCCAGACCCCGTTTGTCTCCATCTCGCCGTAGCCGATGCACAGACGGTGCGGCGCGATGTTACGACCTCGTGTGCTCGAGCCCTATGTGGGAGGCCTCCGTGGGCAGACCCCCAGGGGCAGCCCAGCCCAGGGGCAGCCCAGGGCCGTCTCGGCACACTGGCGCCGCCTCCGTCGGCTCCCGTCGGGGCGCTCGGCGCCGCGGGGAGTGGGCTGGAGGGGTGGCCTCGGACTGCCCTGTTGGCCCTGTCTCCCGGCCAGAGGGTGCTGCCCACGAGGGCTGTCAGCGTGCGACCCTGGGCCTTGCCCACGGCACCTCCCTTCCTCCCACCAGGTCTACAAGTACAGGAACAAGTACGTAACAGACAGCCTCGTGGAGGAGGACTCACTCCTGAAGCCTCACTTCGACGATCCTGAAATTGGCGCAAACGGGAAGCCATGGAGCCCAGGAAATCCTGAGTGGGCATACTACAAGTTCAATGCGCAGATAGACTACACTACGCGCGACCCAGAGTATCCAGAGGGATACCGGAGGCTGTGGGGGTGGCGCCTGGGATGCGCTCAGTGTGTGCTCTGCTTCTTGTCGTGCATTTGTGCCCTTGAGCTGTTCTTCGCGTACCAGAACGCGTCTCCGATCCTCGGAGTCATTCAGCTGTTCGCCTTTATCATGTGTTGTGTGCCCTGCGTGTGCCGAACATTCATCGACAACTACCTCGCGCCCTATCCCGTCTTATGGATCTACCCGTGGCAGAAGCTTTACCCTAAGAGCTTCACGGTGGGGTCGTGGCTGCCGGAGCCTTTCGATACGATCTACGATTGTGTGCTCATGCTGCCAGTTCACATCATAACGACACGCTTCGCGTGCGACCCTCCCTCGGGACACCCGGGCCACGGCCCTCCGGGCGGCAGCCTGCGAGACCCTCTTTCGGGCTCTGGGGCTCCCCGCTCCTCGGCCACCCCTCCTTCCGGAGGGATAAAAAAACACACATACACAATTATTCGTCGATTCCTAGGAACATATAGGAAAATATGATAATATGGGGAGTGGGGGGAAACCGAAAACCCACAAGATATTCGAAATAGGGGGAATATGTTTATTCTTTACGCTTCGCGTATCCCCACCAGCCCATCTCACAGCAGCAACTCTCGCGAAGCATGCCGACAGTCGTGTTTTTCAGGCGTGTGTCCGCTTGGCCCCGCATATCTCCCCTGTTCCTCCTTCCTCCCGCCTCCTTGCACATCCTCCTTGTGAGGGGAGCGGGAGAAGGACGAGGCGGAGGAGGAGGGAGAGAAAGCGCTCCTCGTGATTTGAGTCGTTTGGGGTTTCTCGTCCTGGTGTGGGTCGTTCGGGCCCTTCTTCCTGGTGTGAGTCGTTCGGGCTCTTCGTGGTGTGAGTCGTTCGGGCTCTTCGTCCTGGTGTGAGTCGTTCGGGCTTCTCGTGGTGTGAGTTGTTCGGGCCCCTCATCCTGGTGTGAGTCGTTCGGGCCCCTCCTCCTGGTGTGACTCGTTCGGGCTCCTCGTGGTGTGAGTCGTTCGGGGCCCGCGTCGTGGTGTGAGTCCTTCGGGCTCCTCGTGGTGTGAGTCGTTCGGGCGCCTCGTCCTGGTGTGAGTCGTTCGGGCCCCTCGTCCTGATGTGAGTCGTTCGGGCTCCTCGTGGGGCCTCTTGGGGGCCTCTTGGAGCCTCGTGGGGCCTCTTGGGGGCCTCTTGGGGGCCTTGGGGGCCTCTTGGGGGCCTCTTGGGGCCTCGGGGGCCTCTTGGGGGGCCTCTTGGGGGCCTCTTGGGGCCTCGTGGGGCCTCTTGGGGGCCTCTTGGGGGCCTCTTGGGGGCCTCTTGGGGCCGCTTGGGGGCCTCTGGGGGGCCTCTTGGAGGCCTCTTGGGAGCCTCCTGGGGGCCTCTTGGGGCCATCTTGGGGCCTCTTGCGACCTCCGCAGAAGCGCAAAGGAGAGCTGCCCCCTGAGAAGGACAAAGTGAGCCCAAAACCTTCGTAAAATCAATGATTTTGCTATGAGGGAAGATGAGCGCGTCCCCCTCAGAAGGCCAAAATGGGGCCAAAACCTTTGTAAAATCAATGATTTCTGCTTCAAAGACGAGCAGAGGGACCAAACTCCCCCCCCCCCGGGGCCAGAATCCCCGTGAGGGTCGTCGTTTTTTGGCCCTCCGAGGAGTCGAAATGGACCCCCCCGCCACCACTCGGGAATCCCTGTCCAGGTCCAGGGGGAGGGGGTAGGGGGAGGGGTAAACCCCTCCCCGAAGGGGAAGATAGGGGGTTGAGAACAGAGAGAGCTCGCTAAACCACTCACGCCCAAAGGGCTGGTGGGATTTGTGTGTACTTATGTGTGTGTCCCAGGGCCCCTCCACTCCTGCTCGGAGGAGGGCCAGGGGAGGCAGCGGCGGCTCCCCCTCCCGGCCCAGCTCCGCTCCAGAGCGGCCTCCGGACCCCCCGGCCGAACACTGTCAGGAAGGGCCGGCGGTCCGCTGTTGTCTGGGCCGGCCCTCGCCCGATCCTCCGATCCCTCCTTCCGCCGCTCCTCCTCCTCTCCCTGACCCCTCCTCCCTCCTGCTCCGCCTCCTCCTCCTGTTCCTCCCTCCCTCCCTCCTCCTCCTCTCCTCCTCCTCTCCTCCTCCTCCTCCTCCCTCCTCCTCCTCCTCCTCCTCCTCCTCCCCTCCTCTGCCTCCCTCTCCTCTCTGCTCCTGCTACTCCCCCTTCCTCCTCCTCCTCCTCCTCCTCCTCCTTCCTCCTCCTCCTCTCTCCTCCTCCTCCTCCTCCTCCCCCCCTCCTCCTCCTCCTCCTCCCCCTCCCCCTCCTCCTCCTCCTCCTCCGATCCTCCTCCCTCCTCCTCCCTCACTCTTTGCTGCTCTCTCCTGCTGGTTCGTCACCCTGCCTCCTCCGTGGGCTCGGATGGACCAAGCGCCTCCTGTGCGCCAAACCAGAAGACGCCTCTGCCATCCTCTGGTCTCCTCACTTCCGGGTGCCCCTGCAGTTTCTCAGCGTTGTCCCCTCTTGTTGGGCGCGCGAGGCCTCCGCACGCAGTCGGACCCAGCTGACCGAGTCATTGGCCCTCGAGAAGTTGTTTCGGGGGTTCCTCCACGTGTGGCGTAGGACGAGGGGCGAAATACGAGGGCGGGAGGGGCGCGGAGGAAAGAGGACGAGTCCAGGGCTGCTTGGGACCGACGTCCACCCTCGTTCGAGATGCCTGGGAGCTTGCGGCCTTTCGGCCGCCCCCCATTCCCACTTCTTCCTCCTCCGCCTCCTCCTCCTCCTTCTCCCTTTTCTTGCTGCTGTTGCTTCTCCTCCTCCTCCCCCTCCTCCGCTTTTTCCTTGAGGTGGCCCAACCGCAGCACCCCCCACCCGCGCCACGCAACCCCGTTCCGCCGAGGAACGGCGGGCCGCGGACAACCTCGCCATGAACCCGTGGCGGCAGTGCTGCCCATTGGCCGAAGGATGGCAGGACCTGCAGGACTGTTGCGAGCAGTATCTTACAATCCGTGCGCAGCGAATCGCTCCGAGCGACCTTTTGACATCAGTACATGCAATCAAAATAGAGATGTTGACGTGCTCATCGGGACGCAGGCTCGCCCGCACGGCAAGTTAGTTAACGACACCCGAAGCTTAGAGAAGGTATTGACGGCAGAGTTTGTTGATCGGCCCAGGCGGGTCCCAATGCCTGTGTTGGTCTTGGCCGGTCGCCCGTGCAACGATTTTTCTAGTAGGTCATCAAACGACCCTTGTGGGGGCGCACGGCGGTCGAATTTCGAGCTTTGCAAAGCAGAGGGTTGATCGCAACCGGTCGACGCACCGTCAGGTTCCCGAGTACTTCAAGCAAGTAGTTGGGTATGAACTGAATGGGCGAGAGCGAGAGCGAGCAAGCATCTCCTCGTTGTCCCCCTCCTATTCCTCCCCCTCCTCTCCGTGGCCGCTTCGGCTCGAGATCTGGGCTGTCCGCAAGAGCGAGACGGGCGCTGCTGATCCGCGGCAGCAGCCAGACGTTTCGCGCGCGGTCCGCCGTTCGCGTTTCGTTTCTCCCGCTGCCGGAGGGGTTTGCAGGAGGCCAACCCTCTCGAGTCTTTGATGGCGCGCGGCGGAGGCGACGCTGGCTGCCGTTCCAAAAAGTGGCGGACGGAGGGTGCACGAGCGTGGTTTTGTTAGCGGTGCGTTAAATCACGGGTCGGTGGACGTCGGTGGAACCATGCAGATTAGCCGAGCTGCTCAATCTGCGGAGCGGCGAAGAGCAGGGCAGCGCGTGCGGGGGCAATCGTGAAGTCGGTGGACCCTTTGGAGGGGCGTCGCAGGCAGTCAGAGCAGGTGGCGATCGATATGCTTTACGACCCAGATGGCAGATACGGATTAGGAGATCGCCCAGCTCAGGTTCGCAGGCGCTGATCATCCGGAGCCGAGGACGCAAAGAACGACGCCGTCGACGACGCGAGGCCTTTTCGGAACTGGGGGCGGCATTGCGCGCGAACGGCAACAACTCGGACCCGATCCCGAGCGCATCTCGTGAGCAAATGCAGAACTAGGTGATGCCTTCATTCTCCCGGCCCCATCAAGTTACGAACCGTTGCCAGGGCCTCGAGAAGGTATATGATAATCAGCAGTTCATCGAGGGCGCTAGCATGGCCCCGTGCAAAGTTGGCAAAGCAAGCGCTGGGGGCCCAGGACGACTTGGCAGTGATCGACGCGGAGCTTGCGAACCTGGAGGAGAAGAGGAGGCAGATTGCCGCTGCTGCTTAATCGCCGCCACTCAGATCAGCAGGAGCAGGGGTCGACTTCAGCGTCGACCAGACCGGCGAGCGGCTGCAGACGTCCGGAGGCGACGAAAGCCTGGCCACGGGGTTAGCCGACTGCTCTGATAAGCCACGCGAGCTGGATAAAGCGGCAGTTGCAAAGGCAACGAAGAAGGCGGCAAGGCCAGAGCGCGAAGCTGGAGGCGAAGCCGAGCGAAGTGCAAGTTTCTAGCCAAATGGTTTCGACATCGCCGTGCTCGCGGTCGAAGACGGCCTGGCGGATATGAGACAGTATCAAAATTTGCATTGATGGGCCCCCCTCGGCCGACGAGCAAGATATTCGCGCGGCAGGCAGACGTTCCGGAGCAGCCTGTGGCCATCGTGCCAATGGCCCAAGAGGCGCGTAGGTTTGGATTGTTTTGGTCAATGTGGTCTGTGGTGTGCGCATGCATGTGGACCTCGGCTGCGGCGTCTTCAGGGCCAGGTGCCAGCGCGTCGCCGCGCCGAGCCAGGGCAGGGGGCGCGGGCGAGTCCGCCGCCGATGCAGGCCGAGACGTTGCGATTCAGCGTTGCAGACAGAGCAATGCCCCCACCCGTCAGGTCAGACATTCAGAGGTCGGGACATGGGCGGCGCTGCTGGCGGCCGAGGGCGAAGACAGGAGGTGCAGGAGTCTGACCCAGACGCAAGTAAGCTTGTTGCTCGGGCGCCACCCAGTCTGAGCTACCCTGGGGCGGACATCAAGTTCGGCGCTGAAGCGTCGCTGGACGGCAGCGGCAGGTGAATATGTGCGATGGGGCCAGACGGCGTTGAGGTGTCCAAGCTCAAGGGCAACTGGCAACCTTGTCACCATATACGCGTCGTCGCACGCGCCGTGCTCAAGGCGATTGCGAAGCAGTTGTCGTCCGCGGACGGCGATGCTCTCGCGCGGGAACATCGCGCATTGGCGGAGCGGCTCAGGGACGCGCAGAAGAAGGCCATCGACGTTGGAATGTCGGGGGCGCGGGCGCCGGCGATCTGCGCGGGTAGAGGGGGCGCCGCTGGTGGATTTGCCATAGTCGACGGCCGAGGTGCTCATCGAGGTGCCGCCCAATGGTCAGCGACTTAGTCCTCGCCCCCGGCAGAGCAGCAGAAGGTCAAGATGTGGGCGCGCCCCCATCGCTCGCCAGCGCGGGCGCCATTGCGCGCCCAGCTCCGCGACGTGCATCGGGGAGTTGCGGCGGGGCCAGCAGAGCGCCCAGCGGCGCTGCCGCCGGGGCGCAGCGGATCCCCGCCCTTGGCGGAGCGGCGCGCTGCAAGCAGAGAGCTTGCCAGTGTCTCAGATTATCAGAGCCCGCAAGAGCGCAGGGGCGACGGGGCCGATCGGGCTCGAGGCGGAGGCCTCGGACATATTGGGCCGAGCGGGGGGCGGGGGCCATCAAAAGTTCCACGGCGGGCCCGGCGAGACTAGAACGGCCTGGAAGCAGCTCGAGCAGCTCGAGTCGACGCCGCCGCCGTCACCAGACAAGGCGGTTGCCTGGGGGAGTTTGGGGATGCGGTCGCGCCTTTCAGAGCCTCTGCGCCTCGCTTCGCGAGCTCGGGGGGGCGAGGGGCATTGCGACGTGAGTGAGATTGCAACGATGGTGCGCGATCTGGTGGAGAACAGCAAATGGGCGCGTCGCGGGAGGTGGGCGCGCGAGCACTGTTTCGCGGCGCCCGCTTGCGCGACGATGTCGTGACCAGGTTCGTCGCGCGCGACTCCCGCGACGAGGCGCGAGGCTTCCCGGCGCGATGGGCGCCGGAACAGCCGGCCGCGCGGGCGGGGTCGAGCGCCGCGCGGACGGGGTCGGCCAATCGCGCCGTTGCTGCCAGGGCGGCGCGCGCGCGCCGGTTCAGTCGGGGCCGCGAGCATCAGCGGCCCGCGCAGGGCTCCTCCTGCGTCGCGATGTCCCAACTGCGCGCCCTGTCAACACTGTCTCCTGGGGAACTTATGAGCGATGCCAGATTCCAGCGGGCCGCAGATGACCCTAGGGGCTCAGGGCCTCTCCTCGGGGCCGTTGCGCGGACTCACAGGAGCGTTTTCAGGGTTGGATTTATGTACAAAGATTCATCCCAATAGTGATTTCGCAGCGTTCGCTGTCCGCGCTGCGTCGAAGGTCTCGCGCGGCGCGCGCGCCGCGATGCCGAGGCGGCGCGGGCGCGCGAGGAATCTTGGGCACGGAGTTCTTGGAGGGCGACCTCGGCGGCTGCATGAGCGAACCCGCCTGGGAGATGTCGGGGCACGCGGGAGTGGGCCCTGGGCCCTTCGGGAGGGCGGCTCCGATCAAGGTGGGCGCACTTTGGGCGACAGGTCTGATGCCAGCTGGCAGACGCGGCGCTGATGCGAGCGGTCGTTCAGGTACCGCGCCCACGACTTTGCGGGCGTTGGCCGGGTCGCTTGTCGGAGAGGAAAAGTCAGGCTCATTCGCGGCGTGGCGCGCGACCCGGAAGGATGCGCGTCTCGATCCATTGCGCGGTGCCACGATTCTTTGCAAACGCGCAATGCGGCGGCGATATGGGGCCGGAGGGCTCCCGCGGGTTATCTCAGGTTGGCCTTGGTGGCTGCGCGTGCTCGGCCCGTGTTCACGATGGCGCGGCGCAGCTGCAAGGGGCCGATCTCGGCGGTCATTGTTCGGATTATCCATGGCGGCCGCGGCGCAACTACGCTGGCTTCTGGTGTGGTTTTCCGGTTTTGCCTTTTCTGCGGCCCTGCTTTCTTCGTCTTCCTCCCTTCTCCTCTTCTTGCCGGTTTACTTCTGGGATGTTGCCCGATATTGAGCCACTGGTCAGTCTCAGCCGAGCATCGCCGCGGAGTGCATGTGTTACTCGAGTGATGCGTTGGTCCCCCATGTCCGATTCGTCCCCTCTGCTGTCCTCCTTCTTGCCCCCTAATATGCGCTGGATAGACAGATGGCACGCTGGCGCCATACTATGGCCATGCCTGCGCCATATTCTTGACGCTTCGCGCATCCCCACCAGCCCGTCCAGCAAGGATGCCCAGACGAGTTGCCCTGATCAGGGAAGCGGGGGGAGGGGGCAGACAGAAAAACAAGAAGGCTCGGGAAGCCTTCATACCCCAACGGGGGGAAGATGGAGGATGAACCGGAGGAAATGGGGGAGGACACGGAGGTGGGGGATGGGGGGGGAGGAGAAAGGAGGAACGGGCAGGACGGAGAAGAGATAAGAAGAGGCGGATAAGGACGAGGAGGGCGAGCAGAAGGGCGAGAGTCCGTCTGGATGCTCCCACGGAGTCTCTTCTTGAGATGTCTTTCGGGAGCTTCTCGGAGCCCTTTTGGAGCGTCTTGGGGGCCTCTGGGCTGTCACTAGGACCTCTGCGAGCGTCTTCGGAGCCTCGGGGGAGCCTCTGGGGCTTCTGAGGGGCCGCTCGGGAGCCTCGAGGGGGCTTCCTGGGGGTCTCTTGAGGCCCTGTCGGGGCACTCTCGGGAGCCATGGGGGCCCTCTGGGAGGCTCCGGAGGGGGGTGGGTGGGGTAGAGGAGGGGGGTGGGCGGGGGGGGGTCGAGGGGGTGCGGACGGGGAGGGTGGAGGGACGCGGAGGGGGGGTGGGCGGAGGTGTGGGCGGGCCATGCTATTGCCATACAGCTGCCATGCCGTTGCCATGCTGCTGCCATGCTGTTGCCATGCCGTTGCCTGGCGCATGCCATGCCGTTGCCGTGCCGTGGCCGGGCCGTTGCCTTGCTGTTGCCATGCTGTTGCCATGCGCTTGCCGTGCCGTTGCCATGCCGTGGCCGTGCTGTTGCCATGCTGTTGCCATGCGCTTGCCATGCCGTTGCCATGCCGTGGCCGTGCTGTTGCCATGCTGAAGCCATGCTGTTGCCAGGTTGTTGCCATGCGCTTGCCACGCCGTTGCCATGCCGTTGCCACGCAGTTGCCATGCCGTTGCCATGCTGTTACCATGCTGTTGCCATGGGGCTGCCACGCAGATGGCCATGCGACTGCCACGCAGATGGCACGCAGTTGCCATGCCATGGCGGAGGCGTTGCCATGCAGTTGCCGTGCGCGTGCCATGCGCGTGCCATGCCGTGGCCGCGCTGTTGCCATGCCGTTGCCATGCTGTCGCCATGCCGTTGCCATGCCGTTGCCATGCGCTTGCCATGCCGTTGCCATGCCGTGGCCGCGCCGTTGCCACGCTGTTGCCATGCTGTTGCCATGCTGTTGCCAGGTTGTTGCCATGCGCTTGCCACGCCGTTGCCATGCTGTTGCCACGCAGTTGCCATGCCGTTGCCATGCTGTTGCCATGCCGTTGCCATGCGGTTGCCATGCCGTTGCCATGCCGTTGCCATGCGCTTGCCATGCCGTTGCCATGCCGTGGCCGCGCTGTTGCCATGCTGTTGCCATGCCGTTGCCATGTTGTTGCCATGCCGTTGCCATGCCGTGGCCGCGCTGTTGCCATGCCGTTGCCATGCCGTGGCCGTGCGGTTGCCATGCCGTTGCCATGCCGTTGCCATGCTGTTGCCATGCCGTTGCCATGCCGTTGCCATGCGCTTGCCATGCCGTTGCCATGCCGTGGCCGCGCTGTTGCCATGCTGTCGCAATGCCGTTGCCATGCTGTCGCCATGCCGTTGCCATGCCGTTGCCATGCGCTTGCCATGCCGTTGCCATGCCGTGGCCGTGCTGTTGCCATGCTGTTGGCATGCCGTCGCCATGCTGTTGCCATGCCGTTGCCATGCCGTTGCCATGCGCTTGCCATGCCATTGCCATGCCGTGGCCATGCTGTTGCCATGCTGTTGTCATGCCGTTGCCACGCTGTTGCCATGCCGTTGCCATGCGCTTGCCATGCCGTTGCCATGCCGTGGCCGTGCTGTTACCATGCCGCTGCCATGCCGTTGCCATGCTGTTGCCATGCCGTTGCCATGCCGTTGCCATGCCGTTGCCATGCCGTGGCCATGCCGTGGCCGCGCTGTTGCCATGCTGTTGCCATGCCGTTGCCATGCTGTTGCCATGCCGTTGCCATGCCGTTGCCATGCGCTTGCCATGCCGTTGCCATGCCGTGGCCGCGCTGTTGCCATGCTGTTGCCATGTGTTACCATGCCGCTGCCATGCTGTTGCCATGCCGTTGCCATGCCGTTGCATGCCGTGGCCGCGCTGTTGCCATGCTGTTGCCATGCCGTTGCCACGCTGTTGCCATGCCGTTGCCACGCCGTTGCCATGCGCTTGCCATGCCGTTGCCATGTCGTGGCCGTGCTGTTGCCATGCTGTTGCCATGCCGTTGCCATGCTGTTGCCATGCCGTTGCCATGCGCTTGCCATGCCGTGGCCGTGCTGTTGCAATGGCGTTGCCACGCTGTTGCCATGCCGTTGCCATGCCGTTGCCATGCGCTTGCCATGCCGTTGCCATGCCGTGGCCGTGCTGTTGCCATGCTGTTGCCATGCCGTTGCCATGCTGTTGCCATGCCGTTGCCACGCCGTTGCCATGCGCTTGCCGTGCCGTTGCCATGCCGTGGCCGCGCTGTTGCCATGCTGTTGCCATGCCGTTGCCATGCTGTTGCCATGCCGTGGCCGTGCCGTTGCCATGCGCTTGCCATGCCGTTGCCATGCCGTGGCCGCGCTGTTGCCATGCTGTTGCAATGCCGTTGCCATGCTGTTGCCATGCCGTGGCCACGCCGTTGCCATGCGCTGGCCATGCCGTCGCCATGCCGTGGCCGTGCTGTTGCCATGCTGTTGCCATGCCGTTGCCATGCTGTTGCCATGCCGTTGTCATGCCGTTGCCATGCGCTTGCCATGCCGTTGCCATGCCATGGCCGTGCC